ATAGACATTACATAAAATCAACATGTGTTTGGAGGAAAGCTAAACAATGTCTATATATGATTAGGGAGAACTGCAGCATCTACATGTGAGCAAAATAAGAGCTAAACAACATGTAGACAGCTTCACAAGGTCTACATGGACATGCAAAATTACATGTGGTAAAAAATTCATACAATTGAAAAACAAAGACAACATATGTAAAAAAAAAAAAAAAAAAAAACCTGAAAGTGAAACATTTATAAAGAATTCTTAAAAAACAAATGCAGAATGTTTTGGAACATTAAAAGGTATGTGAAACATAGTCAAAATAAAAAATTTAAATTGTGTGTTCGTCATTCTGAAAATAATGCCTTCTATTTCATTATGTTCAACATTGATGTCAAGCGACAGATATTGATGGCATAGCTGGAAAAATTAAACCTTTTTCTTTTTACCTTGTTACAGATAGTGGTAGTCTGGCAAGATGGCGTCTGACATGCTCAATAGTAGTGTCTTTGTGCAAAAATAGCTGAAAACTTGCTCTATCCAATGTTTTTGTGCTCCCTGTATCTGCTGTGTTGTTTGTGGTGAAAAAATAGGAGACATTATTTTAAGAGCTTTTTCCGTGTGTGTGTGTGTGTGTGTGTATGTAAAAATTCAGATATGAATAAAATATATCTGTAAACACAATATAAATAAAAGAAAAGACAAAAGGAGAAACTTTTCTATACCAACATGTTTCATGCCTTCAGGAACGTCATCGAGGTAAATGTGAAGATTTTATATCATGCCATGTATCTATACACTGAAATAATGTGGTGGAAAAATGTTAAATTTTCAAATTGTGGATTTGAGAACATTCTAAAATATTCATAAATTTTTCTGTGTAAGGAAAGGTTACACAGGAACTTTAAGATTATTTTAGGGTTTTTCAAATACAAAATTTTGAAAATATTTTTCTTTCAAGTTACTTCTGCATATAAATACAAATTATGAAATAAAATCACCATTTAGCTTGATAATGTTCCTTAAAGGATGAAATGCATTGGTATAAAGTTTTCCTTCTGTCACTTCTTATACATATATATATATATATATATATATATATAAGAAATATACTCTTAAGGTGTGCTATATTTATGAGATAAAGTGCTCAATATCAGAGATAGAGTGTGTGTAAATATAAAAGTGAACATTAAAGTCAACACTTAGAGGCAACAGGCCATTTCATGCTAGACGCAATCCTCAGGACACAAGTGTTTTTTTTTTTTCTCGGCTATTTATATACAGGGGTCAGTGGTGCATTTTGGGTAGTCTATTTTGGCAGTTATTTTGCCAAAAGTTGTTTATTTGGGTTAGATTATTTTGCTTGATTTTATTTATTTTTTCTATTATTTTTTATTTATATTTTTATTTATTTTAATCATTGTTTTATTAATGTAGTAAAAATTTGTTTGTATCACTTATTTAATAGTTTTGTTTTGGTTTGGGAAGATAAAGCTATTTATTCAATTTTGGGATTGATTGCTGTAGTTTATTCTAACTATTATTTTGGCAGGAGCAGATTTTTATTTGTTTATTACTTCATTTATTTATTTGGATTGATTATCTTTACATGTTTTTTCTAACAGTTAATTTATCGGGATCGGTTTGTTAGTTTGTTTATTTACTTTATTTATTTGGATTAATTTACATTAATTTATTTTACTTTTTTAATATTTATTTATTATACTGTATATTTTTATTTACTCTTTTCGGTTTTCGATTTTTAAGTAACGTAGTATATTTTTTTTATTGTTATATAACAGTTATAGCTATGTTTTTCATCTGATTTTTCTTTGATTTTTATAGTTTAATTAATATTTTGGTCATAATGGTTTCTTAATTTGTTTATTATTTACTTTATTTATTTGGGTTCATTGATTTTGTTTTTCATTTTTTATTTATTTATTTTATTTCGTCTCTTCTAACAGGTGTGATTTGGTAATTTGTTTGGGTTGATTTATTTTAGTTATTTTATTGTCATTTTGTTTAATTTTTATTTTATATATATATATATATATATATATATATATATATATAGAGAGAGAGAGAGAGAGAGAGAGAGATAAAAGGTTCTATTATATTTTTGCCTGAGCAAGTGGCCTGAATGTAGATTGGAAGTTGACAGATCTTTGTTTGGGTGGAGAAAAAAATAATATATAACAGATTATTGCTTTGCAGATTTTGTGAAGAATCAAAGATTCAAAGACTCAAAATTTTACCATTAATGGCATCAAATCGCCATGTATCTATGCTCCTGTTTAATATTATTGGTTCTTAAATTTGTATTAAATTGAAAACACCTTTCCCTTATTAAGGTTTGAATTTTTCCATAGAAAATACAAATTTAAAGATGTTCAGTTTAAATGCCATAAATGTGTTAGGAGTAAACATATTGTTCTAATGTTACTGGATACATAACTATAACAGCGCTAATACATAGAGATATGAAAAGGGTACTGGAGCCAAAAACTGATTCCTAAAATGAGTTTTCTGACATATGGTCATTGAAATACTCATTCTGGAAAGTGGGTTCAAATGAAAGAGTTTCAGCACTCTTTCTTGTTGTATATGAAAGAGAGACATATACATACATATATTTAGGCAGCATCTCTTCAGTCAAGCAGGTTTTGTTGAATAACCAGGACATATTATGTCTATTTATTCTTATTTCAATCCTCTCAAATTCTCGGATCAACTTCTTAATGTTGTTATTAAATTCATTAAGGAAGGCATTGTAGTTTTTTCATTTCTTTTATTTTACCCAAGTAGTTTCAATCTCTGACAAAAAAGTGAATATGTTGGTTTCCCTACAATATTCCATAGCCCAACATTTAAAGGAACATTCCTGCCCAATATAGAGAAATACTAATTGACAATACAAGTATACTCCACCATGAAAATAAAAAACAAAACCTTCAAATTCTTGAAGCCCTCTATATAAGAAACATACAAACAACCCTAAATAAGATTAATTATGAGTATAGCAACAATGTTTTAAAATGTCTATAACAATAATGTTTTAAAATACTTAAATTGTAATTCTAAAAAAAATTACAACTGTAGAAGTTACCTCCCTTAGATAAGATAATAGCTTTAGCAGTTAATTTTGAACAGAGCACATTTCATATGTTTTTATAATTATAACAGAGCACATTTCATATACATTTACAAAAAATTCACAACTATTAATTATATTGATTTTTTTGTCTTAGCAATTCACCCCTGAAAATGATCTCAGATGAGATTGAAAGTACTTGGAGAAATAAAAGAAATGAAAAAAACTATAGTGCTTTCCTTAATGAATTTAGTAACAACATTAATAAGTTGATCCAAGAATTTACAAATAAATAAACATAATATGCCCATATTATTCAATCAAGCATGCTTGAATATATATATATATATATATATATATAAGTGAACATTGAAGTCAACACTTAGAGGCAACAGGCTCTTTCATGCTAGACGCAATCATCAGGCCACCAATTGTGTCTAGCATGAAGCAGCCTGTCACCTCTAAATGTTAACTTCAATGTTCACTTTTATATTTACACACGCTCTGTCTCTAATATTGAGCACTTTATCCCATGAATATAGCACACCTTAAGACTATATTTATATATATATTACACACACAGATACACAGACATGTTTCATTGAATAATATAGACATATTATGTTTATTTTTATATTGATCCTTTCCAGGTCTCTAATCAGTTTCTTGATGTTCAGATGAAATTCATCAAGGAAGGCACTGTAGTTATTTTCCTACGCAAGTACTTTCGATTTCCGCCAAGATCAACTCCAGGGATAAAATACAAAGACATACTTATTGTAACTGATAAAATCTGCAATCCATTGTGATGGTGATTTTTAAAAAATCCCTGAGAAGGATCTTGGAGGAGATCAAAAATACTTGCATAGGAAAAAACTATGGTGCCTTCCATGAATTTAACATAAAGAAATCGATTAGAGAACTAGAAAAGATCAATGTAAAAATAGACAGAATATGTCTATATTATTCAATGAAACATATTTGAATGAAGATATGTATATATATATATATATATATATATATATATATATATATATATATATTTACTAATTTAAAAATATGGTCCTATTGCTACACAGGAATTTCAAAAATCACTTTAGAATGAAACAGTACTAAGAATTTTAATTTAATTCTAAAATTAAATTTAGAGTTTTTAGTTTCTGTTTTCAAAACATGGCAGTTGCTGTGTAGAGATGGGACCATATTTTTAAATTAGCAAATTTATAATCTTTATGCTCTGCAGAATTGTATTGAACATTTTTTTTAAAAATAAAAATAAGAACACCGGATTATAAATCTTACTGTTCTTTCTCATTATTTTAATTATATATATATATATATATATATATATATATTCTCAGACATAGTATATCTGTAGAAGTGACAAAATGAATGAAGAGACAAGAGGAAAACTATACTTAGTTTTCAGCCAAGACATTTTGTCATCTAACGGACTTTATCAAGGCAAATATGATGGTTTTATTTTGCATCAAGTATATATTTGACAGTCAAAATTTTTAAATTTAACTCATTTAATTCATCAGGTTAACAGAAAAATTTAGAACCTAGCTTATGACATATCATATTCGAAAGGGAATTTTTAACTGGTTAACTGAAATGTCTAGACATTTAGACCTTAGATAACATCATATGGCATCTTTGAAAGGGAACTTTTAAATTTAAAAATGCACATAAATATTCATCAGTGAGTATAGTTTTCCTCATCTTTTCATTCATATATGTGTGTGTGTATATATATATATATATATATATATATATATATATATATATTACACATAAATTAGAGCTTTCAAAATTGCCCTTCACAAACTTTGATTTGTTCATGAATGTTGCTGCTGATGGCTTAACAATTAATATCCATCATGAAGTTTTTGCAACAACCAGGTTAACAAATGTGATTTTAATGACAACACTTCACTCGACTTTTGGACTTTTCAAATAAGTTTGAATCGTGACCATCAATTTCTGAAATGAATGAGAGAAAATAAAAAAGTCAGGACATCTATGCCAAATATTTTCTACATTTTGGCAAAGTTTAACAAATGTAACCACCAAAAGAAAGATGGTGTCAAAAGGACAGTTTTTCTCTCGACACTCCTATCATTGTATATTCCTTCAACAATTTTTATTGTTATAAAAAACTATTTTTAGAATTTTAATAAAACCCAAACATATGAATTTCTTTTTTTTTTCCCCAATTGACAACAAAAATGTTAAGACATTATTCATTTATTGTTTATTTACATGATTTTATATTTACAAAATTATACAAATATCTGAAGCAAAAATAATGCAATTTTTACTATTTACCATTTTATAAAGAAATGGGCTACAAAAACAAAATTCTAAAATAGCTTTTTAAAACAATAAAAATTACCAAGGTGATAAACAGTAATAATGGAAAAAGAAAAAAATGTCCCTTTGACACACTATATTTTTTTAGGGTAAGTTTCTTAAACTTTGCTCGTTTTCCTTCAGAATGTCATATATACTCATGTATAAAGCAAGAAATATCTGACAAAAAAACAAAATCAATGATAATCAATATGTGAAATTGGCTTATAGTCAAGGTCAATATTTTACCAATTTTCCACAAACTCAACATCAATGTATAAAAAAAAAAAAAAAAAAACTGTCAAAATATCTGGAGAGATTGCTTTACAATGAAACACTGTCTTTTTGGATTTTAGAAGCATTTTACAGAATATTTTTAATACTAACAATCTTTTTACACTATTTACATTATTTGGACTGTTGTCCTCATCTTTATTATCATATCCACAACATTTTGGCCATTGTACACTATTATGTTGTTACAATACATCATCTCAGAAATATAGACAGATACTTACAATTTTTATTGATGCTTTAATTTCTTTCAACATGTGAATGGCCAATTCCCTAATTAATTTTCATTTATTAAATGTGCCAATCAATTTTTATCTATATTCAGATGCTCTGTTATTATTGATTTACCCGGAAGTCAAACCTACTAAAAGGTTGCTATAATATTAATTATATAGTCACTATTTGGTAATGTGTCAAAACTTGATACTGTTTATTGCTTTAAGGAATTGCCAGAATATAATGTGTCGATTAGCTACTCTGGCTTATACATAAGTTTGGATTTTTCCTTGTTTATTAGACATAAAATGTGTGGGGGCTTATATTTCAATTGGTTTATTCAAGAGTACATGTTCTGCTGTACAATCAAATGTGGTGGTGGCCATTACCTACTCAATTTTAATTTTACAAGCCAGCAGTCAAATTTAAATATTTGACAGAAAATCATTTGGGGCAAACCCCACCTTCACACAAGCGGAAACATTTTCCATATAAGAAAAATAAACACTGACTAATTTAAGCTAAGTTAGGGTTAAAGCAATCTACTCAAAATATACAAATAAAACATTCAAACAGCTTGCTTATGGTAGTCACTTTGATGTGTGGTCTCCAAATAATTTTAAAAAATGATTTGACCATATGTTCCAATTTTGAAACATTTGATGAGAAGTAGATCACAAGTGTTAAAAATCATTCACATCAACTTGATTATGTTATTTTGATGTGTAGCTTCCATGTATTAGATAAAAACATAAAGGTAATATTATATTGGGATGTTTTAGACATAGCTTAGACATGGTCCATCCAGTCAGAATTGAACTCATTATTCAATCGTCATTTTTTCTAGAAAGACAAGAATGTTAACCATTAGATCATGAGGTACCCAAACATGTAACATTGTATAATGCCAACAAAATATCCTAATTGAGCACTGAAAATCATTTGCAACAGTTTCATTATATTAGTCACATTAATGTGTGGCTTCCATGTAAAGGATAAAATGATAGATGCAACATTATATGATGTCAACAAAACATCCTTGCAACAGTTAAGTTACATTAATGTGTGGCTTCCATGTATTAAATAAAACCATACATGCAACATTATGTGATGTCAACAAAACATGAAGAAGGTCAGAGAGCACAACAGCTGAAACACTGTGATGATAATAATAATAATAAAGATGAGGACATTCGTCTGAATGCAAATAATGTAAATGAAGCAAATGCATTTGTAACATGTTTAGAGCTTATAAGTTTGCATCAACAATCACTAACTTCTTTGAAACAATAGCAACAAATTAGTTTGATAAACCAGGAATAATCAGCTTACATAATTTAAAATTACATCCAGAATAACAGTCTCCATGTGCCGTCTTTCTTCAGCACATTAGCAATTATGGACCTGCAATCTGGAGCTTCCTGTTTTGGTTCATTTCAGCACGACTTGCTCTTTCAATTAATCAATTAATTTTTAGTTAATTAATCCTAATCTGGAGAACAAAAATCTTTTTGGATTAATGATGGTCAACACAGATAAGAATTAGTCAACATTTACTTACTGATGAGTTTGTTTCCAATCTGCGCGGCAGGAACATTAGAACCCTCTAATTCCCTCAAGACAGAACGGTCAAAGGTAAGGGCAACAGCACGAAAGAAAAATTCATTGACATTTTCACCTGAAAAATTTTTTTAAAAAAATACCACAAACAGGATTTATTAAACATCCAATCTTTCAATTTAATCATTGCATATTTAACATATAAGATTTCTTAAATATGTCAAAAATTTCATTCAATCAAGTCAGATATTTAAAAACGTATTTATTAAACAAATCTGCTTGAAAGTTAAATCATTTTAATCATTACATATACACTAGTGTTCAAGACTTTTGGGACACCTTGGTAAATTAATTACTTTTGTTAATATTATTCTAAAGTACAATACAGATTGGATCTGTGGGTGGTAAAGAAACAAAAATACATCTGTGCAATCATTTGAAATAAGGATTAGCTAGAATTATTCAGATAGGTTTAGTTTATTTTGTTTTACGGCATATCAACCTCAACGGGTTATTTAATGCCGACAACGTTTCTAGGATAGATTCGTATAAATAGAATATGTATTCTTTGGTTTAGAATGATTTGGTTTATTTTGTTTTATGGTATATCAACCTCAGTGGGTTATTTAATGTCGACAAAACTTTTTATTGCTGGTAATCGATTATTCAGATAAGAGCAGTCATCATCATCAGAGCTGTTACATAGAGCCTCGAGGTGTCCCACATTGGCCCAATAGTATGAAGTTCTTTGTGGTCAAATGGTCAAATCTTTCAACTCAAGCTGTTGTTAGGGGCACTTCAGTGTGATGAAATGGTCAGCAAGCTTGTCTCACTAGGTCAGTTATGACCGAGTATTTAATTTGATCCTTACTGGGTGCTCCATACTCTCAGCCTTGTGCCACATCTAAGCTACACTTAGTAAATTTCCTAGTACTTACCTTGTATAGATGTTCACTCCTATCAAGAAAAGTTGAAATTAATATTAAGTTCAAGCCCTAGGGGGCCATCCTCCCCAGACAATACTTCTCCTTAGGGAGGAGGCTGGAGTCATTACCCAGTGACTGGGGCATCTCCAAAAAAGGGAAATTACCCAGGAGGATTGAGCAGTTCTTCCATGGTATTGCAATTGAATCTCAACCATGTGTCTCACATTCAGTAGCAACTTAGGTGCTCTGAAAAATCCACTTTCATTGGTGCAATAGTTTTGCATGGCCTTTTATCCAGCTTCAAGCAACTTAAAGTAGTGATCTTCTGTTAGATGTCACCTATGAAGAGGCAACAACATATTTTCCAATCCTCAACGTCTACAGACACTAGTGATAAAAGCATACTGATAAAAAAAATCTTAACTTCTAAATAAAATAATGGAGTATAATCATTTTATGTAGTTGTCCCTAAACTTTTACATGCCAGTGTATAAAGGCAAGGATTTATTGACTTTTAACACTCTGCATTATTCACTGTTATCTCCACTGTATTGTTTTTCAAAGCTCTTTTAATGCACTACTTAATTCCAATCAGTCATTTTCTGTTGTCATAGCAGGATAAGACAACACAACTGTAAAATTCAAATGTGCTATCATCTTGAATGACAGAATAATATTTTTGCTTTGCAAACAAAATCACCTCTAGAATGTTAAAGGTTAAACAAATACGTTGTGATAGCCATTTATTCTAATTCTTCCATATCTAGTGACATAGCAAATTGTAATGGTAGAAAAAAGAAAAGGAAACAATAACCATTAGTGTATTTTAGTACTGACTACATTTCAATATGTGGTAAGTACCCTGGGGGAGTCATGAACTGTTTAATTTGAACAAAAAATTGCACTACTTGACTACCTCTCACCCATTGTTCATTGAGATTAGTTTTTATTTGTCGGTCGTCATGGAAACACTTGTGGTGTTCTTTGCTTTTGTCTTTCAGAACTAGTATTTAATATGATGACGTGAGTGTGGTTTGGTTTGTTTTACAGCATATCAACCTCAATGGGTCATTTAATGCTGACAATTTTTTTTTTCTGGTAATATTTTTGTTTTGTCAAAAACCTATTTCTGTTAATATTTTTTCATCAAAAATGTATTCCTGGTAATAATTTTTACGAAGTATTTCCGCTATTAAAACCTATTTTTACGCTTTTATAATGCTTTTTACCTCAGTTTCGGGATTAACTATTTGCCCATAGCTGGGACCCTAACAGGTACTAGCACCACGGGTTAGGACGGACCTGGTAACACCAGCAATTAAGAGGAGGTTCCACACTCCTCAAAACCTCCTGATCAAAGGCCTTGCTGTTGGACGTAGTTTATCATCTTACCCAGCAACGTGAGTGTGGATGACGTTGATCTTTCTAAGATACTGGTTTTTCATACAGTGTGTGTTTTTTTTGATCAAACAAAAGTTTGAGAAGGAAGCTTTTCATTTAACCTTAGTGTTACTCGGTCGGCAGTGAGATGACATTCATGAGTTTATCTAATTTATGATAGTTATATTAACAATGATCAAGCAATTCAATCAGTAAAGTTTAAAAGACAAACGGTTCATGCGAGAGCAGTCTTTGGCAACCATCTTTTTACCCTCTTTTTGGGAAATTCTCTTCCGATTGTCCTGTGAACTTAGCCTGCCTCTTCTATAATATGCTTTAGTGTGCATTTTATCTGGTGCAACCATATTAGGACACTAGTGGTTCTTTTCTCGCATGGATGATCATGACTCTCCATGAATTCCTATACTTTGGAGCTGTAAGCAATGTTTATTCCCTATCTCTCACAGTATCTGTTCTGATATCCATTTACACAAGCTCACTCAGTGTTTCTCCTCTGCCCCTCTCACTTTTAGCATGTCCTTTGAGTGTCAAATTCTTGAAGCCCTCTTTCCTCATTATGTATCCAAAAAATTTCAACTGTCTTTGTCTGATTCTAAGTACAAGTGTTCTTATGGGTATCTTTCTATATTTCTGAGATGAGGTATTATGTATATTATTTACATTATTCAGACTATGAGGTACACTATTTACATTATTCACTGAAATGTTGTAATAAATATGGCGACAAAGACGAGGACAATAGTTTGAATAATGTAAATAAGTGTTCTTTTTGTTCGCACTTTCTTCAAAACTTCATCTTTATAAAAAAAAAGAAAATTCACCCCAAGGAAGGAGATAATATCACTAAGACGCAAGGGGTTACTGGGAGTGAAAGAGAATGTGAAACTGGAAACCAAATCCTAAACAAGAACAAGGGATAAACCACTACTCCTGTTCAAAAGACCGAGAAGAGTGTGAACCAAACAATAAGCAAACCTGTCTAATCCTATTTTTGCTCACATATTCTGTCTATGGAATTCTCATCATCCTTCTGTAGAACCATATATTTGATGCCTCAAGTCACCTCTTCATCTGCAATGAAATGGTCTAGAATTCTCTGCCATATAGGATTAAAATTACAGTTCAGCATGCTTTTGTTTCTAACGACATTTTCCTATTTCTTAATACTTTGTTTAGCTTTTGTAAGACATCTGTCACATTTCAATGCACCTTTGGATTTCAGTGTCACATTTTCCATCATCTGTTAAAACACTTCCCAGATATTTCAATTGTTGCAATTTACTATCGCCAATTCATCATTAACACCCTGGACTCTTCCTCTTGCTGCCAACTATACATTCTGCCTTCTCACAAGTCCTTTCGTCTCATTTTACTTTACAATCTTCTGCAGGAGTTCCTGCAGTTTTCTTCCAGTGTAACCTGCATGTCTTATGTTGTTCATTCTGACAGGATTTCTAATTCTGTACTTTCTTGATTTTCAGGTCTTCAATTTGTGGCTTGTATCTTGAACTGTCCCACTTGCTAATGACTGTAAACTGTCTGCTTATAACTGATAGTTAGTCCTTTCTTCTTGCTGTCTTTTTATATGGCAACTGAAGTTTAAGGGGAATAATGTATGTCACCTGCATGTTTGTTTTAGTAGCACAAGAGATATTGTAAAAGTCAAGATGTTAAAGATGAATGCTGGGGATGAACATGCATGCAAAGACCTGATGAAAATCGTTAAAAAAGTTTAAAAACGTTAAAAAAAAAAACGTTAAAAAAAATAAACGTTAAAAAAAATAAACGTTAAAAAAAAATAAACATTAAAAAAGTTAAAAATTAAAAAAATAAGAAGGAAAAAAAATAAGAAATTAAAAAAATAAAAAAAATTATGAGATGTTCAGTACATCAGCAGCAGATTGGTTGCAGAAATAATTTCCTTTGAGAATGATTTTTATGCTAATCTTGCTTGTAAATTGAAAACTGACAAAAATTCATGTTCAACATTGTGATTCTCAACATGGGCAGTAATGTCCGTTTGGAAGTTATCCCAACAATCAAGGAAGGCATTAAGTGGTTGAGGCTATTACGTGAGGGGGTAGCATAATTTAACATGGGGTTCCTCAACCCAGGCAATATCATCTATCACGGCTATTTCAACTGTTGGGTGGACAAAGAGCAACTGAACAGAAAATTTATGGTTGACTGGAAATTTTGGTGGGTGATATAGGATTCTAAGCATTAAAATGGTATTTCAACAAATGCTACCCCGCCCCCACCAAAAAAATATTCAAATATGCAAAGAACCTGTATAAAAAAAAAAAAAAAGACAGGAGGCTATTTGGGAATAACTGGTCTACATTACTAGATAAAATATAAATATACCCTGAAACAACAGATATTTTGACATTTTCTATAGTTTTGAGAAGGTTCATTAACATTTAAATAGTTCTTCAGACAAAATGAACCTTTTTTTTTCCAATATAAATCAGATGAGGAAAAAAAGATTCAAGAACAAAAAATATTCACTGAATTTTTAATTAGTTGTTAGCAATGCACATTCTTTTTCCTTTTATTCTATTTGTATTTTATTTTGATTGACATATCTTACTTTATTTCATTTGTTTTTTTTCATTTAATTATGGAAAAAAATTTGTTTAATTTTTTGTTAAGACTTGCAACCCTGACCCTAACCATAAAACTAAATTATATCTATAGTTTTCAATGGTCAAGTTTGCTTTTGTTTGTTCTTTATCAGCCTTATTTGTTACCTCCCTTTGATATTTTTTTACTACTTGATTAAGTCAGT